CTTAATAAGTGCCATGGGCATGGGCAAGCGTGTGGCTTTCATCCTTGGCCACAATCTTGCCAAGATAATGTATGGGAGCATGACAGATGAGGTTGGGTGGTGTCAGTCATGAAGTGTTTGAGCGTTGGGGCGCCAAACACGCACTGATGCAAGATGGTGAGAACATAGTCTCATAGGCTTGCGGGTGTGGGCACTTGCAAGCAGATACATGTGCAGGCAAGTATGTGTTAGCATGGGCGTTGGGGCCTCCATAAGCAAGTCAAGCAATGCACGAGCTAGGACATGTGCAAGTGGGTAATGTAAGAGCAAACTACTGAGCACACGCACAAGGCATACATTAGTGTGTGTGGTGTGCATGTGGGCATGCGCCAAGGTGATGGGAATACTCAGACAAAGCTGCATGGTTGCTTAGACAAAGGTTGGGAGACAGTTATATGTGTCTAGATAAACATGTATAATTACCCAACTACTTGGTAACTGTTGTGTAGGTTGTAACTGCTCTTGTAACTATCATGTAATTTCTACTATCATGTAATTGTCTTGCCAATGTGTATATAAGGCAAGCAGGCTATATTGTTCAAGGGAGAGGGGGATATGTGTGTATATGTCATTGTTGTAACTTGAGTGTTGTATTTAGGAGTGTGGGATCAAACTGTATCAATGGGAAACACTGTGAGAGTATTCTTGTTTTCCTTGTATTCTTTATACATAATATAAGGTTGGGAGTTTTCTTTTATATTGTGTTGCTTTACGTTTCACAAGCCTATCTTGTATATCGTTGCTGGAATTTGTGGCATGGAAACGCACATTTGGGAAGGCTGACAGGTAGTTGGCGTGTTTGTGCCGTGTAGCACCTAGAAGAGAGTTTAGGCCCTGTGACACTAGGTTGTGTGTAATTTGACTTGAGCATGCCAACTACAACCCCTATTACATCCACCCTTATCCCTTTTTTGGTTTTATAGTAACANGCATTATGTGACTTCTAGCTAATATAATTGGCTAGATTTGTTAGACTCTGCACAGTTTTGCTATAATCTTCATAAATCGTTTTCAACAAAGTTGTGTCCCTTTGAGTTGGTGTTGGATAACAGCCTTAACACCTATAGAGATTGCAAAGCAACCAATAGGGGGAAAATTTCCTGCTACTGATAGGGTGGCAAAGGACAAGTAAGACCTTATAGATCAAGTTCAAGACAATTTGCGCAAGGCAAGCAAATGGATGAAGAAGTATGCAGATGCTAAGAGGAGACCTTTAGAGTTTGATGTAGGTGATCAAGTGTTACTCAAACTCACTCCTCATATTTGAAAGAATATCAATAGCATGCAAGTGCATGGGGGGTTGGTACCAAAATATGATGGGCCATTTGAGATTGTAAGCAAAATGGGTGTTGTTGCTTATAGGTTGAAGCTGTTTGAACAAATCAAGGTGCATCGCATATTTCATGTGAGTTTCTTGAAACCATTCCATGAAGACAAAGAGGACTCTTCATGGACCCAAGGTAAGAGAACTCCTCTTATGATCATGAAACAATTCGATGATGAAATTGAGAAGATCTTAGATCATCAGAGGATGGGACATCATAAGAAGAATCACCAAATTGAGTATTTGGTGAAATGGAAGAGGGGTAAAGATAGTGAAATTTTGTGGGAAAGAGATATTGATTTGTGGTAGTTTGAGAAGATTGTGCAGGAGTACATTTCTACCGTTCTGACAAGGACATCGGGTTCTTCTAGTGTGGGTGGTTTGTTAGAACCTTAATAAGTGCCATGGGCATGGGCAAGCGTGTGGCTTTCATCCTTGGCCACAATCTTGCCAAGATAATGTATGGGAGCATGACAGATGAGGTTGGGTGGTGTCAGTCATGAAGTGTTTGAGCGTTGGGGCGCCAAACACGCACTGATGCAAGATGGTGAGAACATAGTCTCATAGGCTTGCGGGTGTGGGCACTTGCAAGCAGATACATGTGCAGGCAAGTATGTGTTAGCATGGGCGTTGGGGCCTCCATAAGCAAGTCAAGCAATGCACGAGCTAGGACATGTGCAAGTGGGTAATGTAAGAGCAAACTACTGAGCACACGCACAAGGCATACATTAGTGTGTGTGGTGTGCATGTGGGCATGCGCCAAGGTGATGGGAATACTCAGACAAAGCTGCATGGTTGCTTAGACAAAGGTTGGGAGACAGTTATATGTGTCTAGATAAACATGTATAATTACCCAACTACTTGGTAACTGTTGTGTAGGTTGTAACTGCTCTTGTAACTATCATGTAATTTCTACTATCATGTAATTGTCTTGCCAATGTGTATATAAGGCAAGCAGGCTATATTGTTCAAGGGAGAGGGGGATATGTGTGTATATGTCATTGTTGTAACTTGAGTGTTGTATTTAGGAGTGTGGGATCAAACTGTATCAATGGGAAACACTGTGAGAGTATTCTTGTTTTCCTTGTATTCTTTATACATAATATAAGGTTGGGAGTTTTCTTTTATATTGTGTTGCTTTACGTTTCACAAGCCTATCTTGTATATCGTTGCTGGAATTTGTGGCATGGAAACGCACATTTGGGAAGGCTGACAGGTATTTGGCGTGTTTGTGCCGTGTAGCGCCTAGAAGAGAGTTTAGGCCCTGTGACACTAGGTTGTGTGTAATTTGACTTGAGCATGCCAACTACAACCCCTATTACATCCACCCTTATCCCTTTTTTGGTTTTATAGTAACAATTAAGCAGAGTAAACACAATATCTTCTCAAAAGGTACAGAAGAATCGTGGAAAAGAGTTTAAAAAAAAAATGATGGATTTGATTCATCATTCCTAAATCTATTGTTCCACATTTTTTAGGTTAACAATAGGGTAATAGTTTTGCTCCACATTTTTTAGGTTAACAATAGGGTAATAGTTTTGCTCAATGAGTCCCGAGGATCAGTTAAAGTATACCCAAATTGATCCGGACACCTTGGTCATGTAAAAAAAAAAAAAAATAGGGTAATAGTTTGTTTCTATATAACAATCCTAATGGAGTTTGTTGTTGTTACATTAGACCTAGGAAAATTTTAATTAATTAACCCTTGCATTATGAATTAAAAATATTTTTATTAATTATTATTCTATTAAGCAAAACATTCCCACCATTGCTAATCAGATGGTCAAACATAACAGTAATGCTAGACTTACCGACCCAGCTACCGATTTGACATACTGACTCATGTGAATTAAGTTAAATTTTGAGATTTGGGTTGTTGGGTAGTTGGGTCGGTATGTAAAAATCGATAGTTGGGTTGGTAAATATAGTATTACTGCAAACATAATTGTAAACCAAATGCTGTGTCCCACACTGTAATATTCTTTTGAAATCCTAATGGCTATGACCCACTAACTTTTATCAAAGGCAGCAACACGTCCAGCAATGGATCCCTCCAAATCAAACGGCTGAGAGAAAAGGATGAGATATTTGGCTCTACCTTATATACCCTTTTCTTAACTTAAAAGTAACGGCTAGATAAGACACATAAAGGCTCAAGAAATATGAGGAGGTTTCCTAAAAGTTGATTTATAGATTCTTCATGTCTTCCTTTCTCTGCGTTATAACATTTCTTGAGCACAGCTCTATAAAAATAAAAAATTATATATTTAAAAAGCACCAATCAACGGCTAAACAGCTTAAGAGAAAAGCACTTTTCAACTTAATCAATCATTTTGCTTTTGCTTAAGACAAGTTGAGTGAATATTGAATAAAAAGATAGAGATGCCTCTACGCCTTCAATCAACAAGAAAAAAAAACGCTTTTCCTTCAATTATTATAAAAAAGCAATCACCATATTTGATACTGGGTAACAAAGATATCCTCGTATCCTTTCCTTTCAACCATCATTGTTCATAAAATAACCTATTTTTTATAAAGCCTGCTGCATATTCAAGATGTTGATTTAGAATCTAAATGCATCATGTATCTATATTTGATTTTATAAAAGAATCGATAAATATATATCTATATAATAAAATTTTTATATTTTTTTTCATCTGAAATATGAATTTTATAAGACTAAATTGTATTAATGCTGTGGTCAAAGCTGTAAATCCCCCACAGTAAGGATATGCCTTGCATAACTACAATCCTCAACCTCAAATGGTCAAAAAGCTGTTTGTGACTTTAATTAATTTCTCAAAAACATGGAAAGTAGTCTTCTTCTCTCTAAGTTAATTGCTTTATTTGAATTCTAAACCTAAAACATGGGGAAAAATATATGTGGGAATATTCTTACATTTTGAAAGCTTCACACTTCTCTTTTGTTGAGAATATTTATTACATCTTCCCTAAAATATGGACAATTGCCTATTCAGTTTTAAGCACCAGTACAACTAATCAATATTGAATATTCTTAGTATCCATGTACATATATATAATTTTTGTTTGCTTACTTAAATTATTAAATAGTAACCCTATATCTCAAATTTGTATCCTAATATTTATATTGCAAGTGATCGATAACATTTATTATCCACACAATAGCATTAATCAATGACTTAAAGAAATATAATATTTATGAGAGTTAAAACAATATAATATTATATAATTCTAAATACCGAAATATTATAGGACCAATCATATGATTTATAGACCCAGAGCAACAGTATTGAAATGAGAAACAGGTTTATGTACAAAACCCATGAGGGCATGAACAATTTGTTAAACGAGCTTATGTTTTGTCAATTATTAATATGCATGGACTTTTGAGATATCAGGGGCTCATTGTTTCTTGTGCCAATTGCCACATTACCCATGAAATAATATAAATTCATATATTGAAATGTGTTATAAAGCTAAATTTGATCCAACGGTGGAGAAGCAGTTTAAAATAATGCCATGAAATAAGAACCCTAGATATAAAGATTGATTGGAGAAGTTTGGAAGCAAATAATATCTCACAGCAGCTGCCAGTCAAAAGCATGAAAGAACACAATAATTGTTGCTTTCTATTTCCTTTATTAATCCCATCTCTCATTCATCTTCCTTAGTCAATTTGTAACTAAACCTTCCAATTCTCTCTCTCTCTCTCTCTCTCTCTCTCTGCAAATGTCTCAAGTCCTCTCAAAATCTCCTAAACACTGTGCCAATAAGCAAGGTTTCACCATTAAAAAGCAACACAAGAAGTTTTTCTGTATCTTTTCATCATTCTTCACTTCAATTCTTTCACTTATTCTCCTTCTTTGGCTTATCCTTCACCCTTCAAAACCTCAAGTCACTCTCAAAGAGGCCGATATCTATCAGCTAAATCTCTCTGACTCTCACCTTCTCAATTCCTCCATGCAATTCACATTATTATCCAAAAACCCTAATCAAAAAGTTGGCATTTACTACGACCAGATACAAATTTATGCGGCGTACAAAGGCCAACAGATCACGGTTGATACTCTTCTTCCACCTTTCTATCAAGGCCACCAAGATAGCAATTTGTTAACGGCATCTTTGGTTGGGACGGGGCTCCCTGTGGCGCCTTCGTTTGGCTATGAAGTGGGACGAGATCAAACAGCGGGAAAATTTGTTGTGAATGTAAAGATGAATGGGAAGTTGAGGTGGAAAGTTGGAACATGGGTTTCTGGACATTACAGGTTTAATGTTAATTGTGTTGCGGTTTTGCCTTTTGGACCAACTCTTCCAACACCTCCTCTAACTTCAAATCAAGGCACTCTCTGTTCTACTAGCGTTTGAATTACGATTCACTAACATATTAAGTTTCTATACACTAGTGTTGTTTCTTTCATTTTTGGTGTTAATTTGCTTTTCTATCATCAGCTTGTCAATTAATGGTGTTTTCCCATATGAAATAATCAATACGTGTTGGTGGATTTTAAAATTTTCATATTGAATTAGCGCATGTATATGGCGTGTTACAGCTGATGTAGATATAGCTAGGGGTTTACATATTTTGATGCTGTTTTAAGTGTTGTGATATGTAAAGTAATGAAAATATAATTAATAATGAAAAGCATGATTTTATTGTCTAAACTTTATCGTATTTACTGTTTCTTTCATTTTGATCATGAATTGGATTTACTTTGGATGTGTTGTGTGAAGAATGGAAAAAAGATAGTTTCTTTTCTTTTTCAAGTGGGTGTTTTCGTTAGTGGAAGGATGAGGAGGGATTGCTTTGCTGAACGAATGAGCAAGAAGACCGATAGATGAGATTCTATGGAGAAAGTGGAAAGAAAAGGCGGGAAATCAATTGCTTTCATAGCAAAGGAATCATCAGAATTTCCATGTCAATCTCTCACCTTTAATAATTATAGATAATACATAAGTGGAGCCTCTAGGTTCCCCTTTTATAGTTATAAAACTCTGGCGTCCTTATCTACCACTAGGTTTTCTTCATTCAATATTTTCTCCTCGTCTTTTCTTTTTTTGAATTGTTGAACCTTACCCATATACTGAACCATATCTTAATTTCAGAAATTGACACCCAATAAGTCTCTAAATGATTTGAATTCATAAATCTATTTCATTAACCTTTTCTTTACACTATATGATACTATAATGAGAAACTATGGGTTAAATTTTAAAAAAAGAAGGCTTTTAGTAAGTTTCTTTTTATCGATCATGTCATATCATAACACAACATTTGTTGGTGTATATCTTTTAGATTAACTCTTATAGAATAGACATACTAATTAAAGGGTTTCTCTCATTTTGAAATAAATAAAGTTTACTCATTAGTAGAAAGTTCTTATCGGTTGATATTGATCAGTTTGAACTTTTAGTTATAAAAGGAAATTTGGTCTAATGGATACTGAAATTTTGAAATACAAGTATTTTCTAAAAGATTTTTATAAATGAACTAATTCTTAACCCACATTACAAAAAAAAATAATAATAATAAAAAAATGGATTATTTAATATAATTTCCTATATATTATATATGGTATCTTAGCCCACATAAAAAATATATAAAACATTTCATCCATTTTTAAACAACACTAAGTTTCCAAAAAGCATTCTCTCAACCACCACGTAGGACTAATATTAAAGTTTAGTGAAATTAATATAATTGTTAATGGAGAGAGGGTAGGTAAGGTTAAAAAAGGCCTAACTCTCTTCTTCTTCCATTTTATAAAGAGCTAACAACTTTTTCCCACTCAAATGGTGGTTTGATGACACTTTCTCACCTATAGACTTTAAAAATATCACTTCATTACATAAATTTATATTCTAACAGTGAACAGAGAACAAACTCAGTCTAGGCTATTGGGACTTTTGAAAAAAGGAGATCGATAAGTCTTTTGATGGTAAAAAGTTGGATTTTGGTGATTGTGATAGATCGGAATTTGATTTGGGAGGGTCGGTTGCGCAAACCCTAATCGCTCGATTTTTGGCAGTTGGTGGGGTTGATATGAGTTAGATTTGAGAGGTTTTGGTAAATGATGATCGGGGAAGAGAATGGTGGTAGCGTGAGATTGCAACGATGTCAAAATCAGAAAAGAAATATAAATTTGGATAATAAAATAATATTTTAATAGTATGTGGATAAAAAAATGTCATTAAACCCTTATTTGGGTGGAAAAAAGTGGTTTACTCTTTTATAAACTATATATTTATCATCTTAATTAGCTAGGAGCTTTGCTTTGCGTTGGCAAATTAATTACATGTGGTTGGACTTGATTGGCTTAAAAAAATAGCTACATATATCTAGAAGTTGACCCAGTCATTTTGCAACTAAAAATTGTTCTTGAAAAATATTAAAGAAGAGTAAACGACTTTTAAATTTTAATTTTTGTATGGAAAATATTAATCAATTATCGTCGTACTTATAACAGACTTTTAACCTTCTTATCCTTCTTCACAATAAAATTTACTAATATAATTATATTCTGTGTAGTAAAATAATATTTTAAAAGTTTATTGATAGAAAAGTATCATTAAACTATTATTTGGGTAAAGAAAATCATTTACTCTATTAAATAAAGACAAAAATAGTGTCACACCCACACATAAAAGAATTTAATTAAAAGAAAGATAGGATTGATAAATGTTGGTGCGTCAGTTTTCAAAGTGAACCAAATTTTTAAAAGGGAGAACGACATTTTCCCACCCGTTTGGTTAACCAATACTTTCCACCCATTAAATTTCAAAAGATACTTTCCCACCCACTGTTACGTTCCGTTAGAAAAATCCAACACTATTTGGCTTAATATTTTTTTATTTTATTTTATGTCATATCACAATATTCAATTATCAATATATCGACTTTAATGTATAGAAATCTAAATTATCAATTTATCCCTCTAATTTTTTTATTAAAAATAATGTTTTACTGGAATTTCAAAAAATTATATACAACTTTTTTTTTTCACAAACTCGAAAAACACAAGATCTACGGTACCAACTTCCACCACAGGATCTAACTAGTACACCAAAAGGAACATAAACAACATAAAACTAATATAACTTTCGCAGAACTTGAACATTGCAACATGGATAGACACTAAAATAAATGTTTCTTTTTCATCAAGTCTTTAAACCATATCCAACAAGAATGAACAACATAAAAATTAACTTTTTTTTTTTTTTTTTTTGGCCCTCTGAATTTAATATATTACTATAAATCTCAGCCAAGGGCTAACATCATATAACAAGAAAAGAAAAAAGAATGAAATAATTTGATTCCCCTAAACAATTAAACAAAAATCTCCTAATTTGTCCAACACCCAAGCTGGCCATTTCAGTTAAAACAACTCCCAATCTAGAACAGCTAATACAACCAACAAACCACTCTTCAAGCTTGAAGCACAGCTTGTTGGAGCAACAGCCGGACCCTCAAACTCCACCAGAGAAGCTGCCGGAAAAATGAGCCTGTGCCTTGAAAAAGAAGCCATGGATGATGGAACTAAGAAAGAAGAAGCTTGAATTGGTGGATGTACGAGTGTGAGGATTTGGGGAGAAAGTGAGGGTGAGATCATAAAAATTAACTTTTAATAAGCAAAGACTGACATTTTGCTATTAAGCACCATCTAATAACCACTATATAATTCATGCAACTCACACCGTTCCCTTTTCCATAATTTTTGGGACAATTTCAATATAAATATCTATAGCCACGAACAAGGTCACGCGACCAGCAAAGCAAGCACTTCGTATCTTCTCCATGCCCAATCCAATAATTTCTTGCCTCTGTTTGAAAATTTTTTTTCCCAAAAACACATACCAAAGAGCTGTAGATGTCGCTCTCTTGTTCCTTCTCCTTTGTCTTTTAATCTATCGTCTCCTGTCTCTCAACAATCATGGACTTGCTTGGTTTCTCACTTTCTTATGCGAGTTATGGTTTGCGCAGTGGGCGCTAGGTGGGGTTTTTTGTCGAACGGGTGGTGGGCGACTTGGCAAGGTAACTATGTGAAGGGGTTTGATATAGCAGAAATCACCCAAATCTTCCTCAAAGTAGAAATAAAAAACACAACACTTCAAAACCAAATCCAACTCCACAAAATCAACAAAACAATCCACTTTCCACCATCAAACACAAACTTCTGCAAACAGTGGCGACAAAGGCAGGGGTGGGGGTGTGAGATGACGGGGAGCTACCGGTGGGGGACGATGAGGCAGATGGAGGTGGCGGCAGCTGGCGGGGGGGCTGGAATCTGCATACGGCTGCTCGTAGTTGCAGGGTGCTGCGACTGCGAAGGAGAAAGGAGGTCTTTGAGGCGGCGGCTCGTTGGAGAGGTCAGTAGAATGGGTTTGAGGCAATGAAGAGCTGGTGAGGGAGGCGGGCAAAGTCGCCGGAGGCGGCTAGAGAGGCCGGCTCATGCTGAAGCTTATGACCCCGCCAGCCCAGCTGGCGGTTACAGGTTACGCCGGCGTCGCGACCTCCAGCGTAGAAGAAGGAGATGATGGCAAAGAAAAGAAAAGAAAAAAAGAAAGAAACAGAAGGAAAGAAAAAGAAAATAAAGGAGAATAAAAAGCTACCCGACCGAGATTTCAATTTTAAAATTTAGATTTACGAGGCTTTTAAGTAAATTCACCATCTTACCCTTCTTAAGAACGGATATTTCTAATAGAATATAACGGTGGGTGGGAAAGTGTCGTTTTGAAACTTGATGGGTGGGAAAGGATTGTTTCGCCATAACTTGGGTTGGGAAAATGTCGTTCTCCCTTTTTAAAACACTCGTAAAGGTTATGCCCCACAAGATGAAAGTATAGTTGATTAACACATGAAATTTCACATTTCTGTTCATAAAAATCAGCTATTTCTTTTTAGATGAATATTTATATGACACGTACATAAATGAATATTAAACAGTTTTAAAAATTTTAGATTCATTTTCCACAACTTTCTTTTTCTAGTAAAACGTATAACACTTGTTCACAAAAAGTTGTCTTATGAAAACCATTTTCTACCCTTACACTTTTATCAATACAACAAAATATTATTCATTTTAAAAACAAAAACATAAAATACGTAAATGAACACCACCTAATTTTCCTACTTTTAATCAAACTTCCCCATGAATTATTAAAAATCCATCACTAACTATTGTAAACCCTAACTCCATTAGATTTTTGTTAATGTAAAGGATAATATTGTCTTTCACTTTCTTTGAGCATATTATAAACCTGTTTAGCTGAGCTTATGGCAGCTAGTGCTTATAAGTTAATTTAAGCTTATAAGAGTTTAAAATTTAAGCAGTTACATGTTTGGTTAAAATATTTATAAGTGATTAATGAGTAGTTGACACATTTAATAAAATATGGCTTATAAATACATTTTATTATTAAAATGACTAAAAATGGTAATACATTATTAAAAATAAAGGTATAAAATGAAATTTTAAAATTAAAAAAGGGGTAATATAGTAATATATTTTGTCAAAGTAG